AGAGATCATATTCAAAAAAGGGGATATTATACTTGAATTTGTAAATACCGATAAGCAAATAGCAGATATTTTCACAAAATCCCTAAGCGAGGATCGCTTCAATTTTATTCGTGGCGAGTTTGGAATGTCAATTTCTACTTAAAAAGCTTTGTTATGACTGTAAAACTTGAATTTTTGTTAAAATGATATATGTGTATTGCTACATTGATATAGAAACATTTATATCAATTGCATGCTCTCAAGTCCTTCATACATTTATTATCCTTAACAGTTTGTTATTCTCAACTGTATAATTTTTTTTGGGTTCTGCATTTTGAGGTAAAATTAACTTTGCATACATTGATTTTCTTTAAAACCCTCATGGTATTTTTTTTACATTACCCTTCCAGCAACACCGGCGTCCCATTAAGTATAATTTCTGCTAGTATTATTTTATTTTAATTTATTTTTTTATTACTATTAAGCTTAATATCTTTTACTTTTTTATTTATTTTTTTGTTGTTTTACTAATAGGCTTTATTTCCTTTATTATTTTTTTCTTCTTTTCTTTTCATTATTATTATTATTTTTTTTGCCCTGAGGCTTAATTTTGATTTTTTTTTCTGCACTTTACTTTCATCTTCAAGTGATTACATTAAACATAAAAACAAACACAAATCAAAATATTCATATATACAAAAAAAAACAAAACAAAACAAAACAAAACAAACAAAAAAATTCCCTTTATTTTTCCGGCCATTGGCCGACCTCACTTACTCGCCTCTTCCACCAATCTCTTCTTCTTTTTATCACCTTGGACGACCCATGAAGGCCTTGCCCCCGTGTTTTCGCCGAGAGCGACGACTTCCCGCTAACTATCAAAGGCCAAGTAGCTCACTCGTTCTGTTCTGCAGTCGATAAGCCAATTTTGTGACTGTAGTCACCGTTTCCATACAAGACGTCAATGTGAAATGATTGGCTTCAATATCTTATGGCACTGCTATTATTTGCTCAATCGACATCATCGGCAGGTTGAGAATAGTAAGAGCTGGGGCACTCAGCCCCGCAGCGCTTGAGGGATCATTCAGGTCTGGAAAAAGAGTGAGGGGACGGGACGCGACCATGTGGTAGCCAAAAGAGATGTACTCGAAAGGAGGGTAGTTTTTGGCAAGTCTTTATACTCTGCTCGATCTCTCTGTTCTATCTCTCTCTAAAAGAAGAAGAAAGGGATGGACGCGAATGAGGAAGAAGAAGGAGAAGAGAGTGACTAAGAAAAAGAAGACAGAAGAAAAGAAGACAAAAGAGAGAGAGAGTCGAGACAGTTGATTGACCCGTCTCGTTTTTGTTGGTCAGCTGACGTAAAAGCGAGGCCGCGTGTCTGACGCGATTTTCGACGGAAAATAGAGCGGTGCGCGAATCATATATATATGTTTTGATTATCTATTTTTGATGCCATTTATAATTATCATTTTCCTCCTCCTCCAGATTCTGAGCCATGATTTCCTTTTAATAATGTTACAAGGGGAGAAAATTAATGATGTTATATATTATGTATTATATTATAATTTTATGTATTATGTATTATATTCTAATGTTATGTATTGTGGTATCATGGTAGTATTTTTTTTTTTAAACTGATATAGACCAACTAATATTTATAATTTTTTTTCTTTTATAGTTGGTTAATCTCAAGTCTCATATCATGTCTCTGATTAAAGCTTATTTATTACACATGTACTAACTTATGTATTTAGAAATGAATTCAAGGAGCATGACTTGAGGGGGAGCCTTTCTAACTCCCAAATCAAATCAAAACATCATTGTGTGTCATCATCAAAAAGGGGGAGATTGTTAGACTTATTTATTATGATGATTTATTTAATTATATTTTAATTTATTTGAAAGAGAAAAAGAGAATCCAAAATTTATTTTGATGATTTATTTAATTATGTTTTAATTTATTTGAAAGAGAAAAATAGAATCCAAAATTTATTTTGATGATTTATTTAATTATATTTTAATTTTTTTGAAAAAGAAAAATATAATCCAAAATTTATTTTGATGATTTATTTAATTATGTTTTAATAGAATCCAAAATTTATGTTGATGATTTATTTAATTATGTTTTAATTTATTTGAAAGAGAAAAATAGAATCAAAATTAATTTTGTCCCATTATTTCTCACCTAAACTTTTATCCTAAATATTGTTTGAATGTATTTAATATTTGCTTAAATCAGGAGTTCATTTCGACCAAAAAATAATGCCCAAACCAGAGGTTCAAACAGTCCAAAACAAAGGTTCAAACAGCTCAGCACAGTAACAGGTCAAAAAGTTCAAGTGAAAGATATTCAAATTAGTAATGATGGAGTAGAAGATATTCAAATTAGTAATGATAGAGTGAAAGATATTCAAATGAATACAACAGCTATAAACGGCTATAAGTTTCATTATATATACCAAAGCCTCTAATGTAAACTAGTTACCAAAAAAAAAACTAGAAAATATTCTTTGATCTATAATCACTCACATCTATTCTCTGAAAAATTTTCTGAGAAGTGTTCTTCAATTTTTGTTTACATCCTCTTTCAGAAATTATACACTAAGACGTATAGCTTTAAGTCTACATTTCCTGTGTGAGGTTTATAGAAAAAACCAGAATTTCATTTTTATATCTATCTTTGAGAGATAATTCTTGTAATTTTCTGGGAAAGCAAAAACACCTTCTTTTCAGCCTTGTAAGAGTGTAGTACACTCAGTGTTCTTGACTTAGAAAGTCTGTGTAAAATCTGTGGAGGATTGCTGCATCTGTGAAATGGTTGTTAGCACCCTGTAAAGTTAGAGTATAGTGGAAAATCTCAAGTGAAGCTTGAAGTGGACGTGGACCGAGTTAAAGCCAAACCACTATAAATTTGTTTACCTCTCTCTTCCTTATCTCTTTATTTTATTTAAATTGCTATAGCTATATTTCACATTTTCACTGTGCTAAAATCATTAACTGACATAGTTGTTAGAGCACTTGTTTTAATTATTTTTATTTCATTAACTATATTTATCTATTGTGCTAGTCATAATTTTTATTAGGATGTTATTATTTTTATTTGTAAAAAATTAATTCACCACCCTCTTAAGTTGTCTTTTGAGTAACACACTTTTAGAACATCCTAATTTAATATTTTAAGGCAAATTATATTTTGCAATCCTATATTTGGCCCTTGTTTTTATCTCAGTTTGACTTCATTTCTAGCCCTTGTTTTTATTTTAATTTTTATAATTTAAATTGTTTGATTTTATGACTTTTATAACAATTGGATCATATTAATTATAATTATTAGTGTATTTTTTTAATAAAAAATGCCAACATAATATATATTTTTATAAGTTAAATTATAAATTTGTTCAACTAAATTAAGTTTTTATAAGGGTGCTTGTCTCCCGTCAAGATGGACTGGACGGTATTGTTGAACCCGTAGGCAAGGGCGGAGACATTGAGAGTCTAGGGGGTAACGCGTCCCTGTTAAGTTTTGGATTTATTTTTATTTTTTTGCAAACATAAAGAAAATATTTTAAATAAAAAATTATAAAAATATTATGCAGAGTGGAATGTCCATGACAATTTTTAAATTATGAGAACAATAATTGTTGTTTTAATTGAAAATAAAGAGATTACGATAAATCATATTATTATGGCCCATTTTGGCAATTTTGACTTTTTTTACTTTTTTAGCTCTTTTACTTTTTTTTTTATCACATTATTTCTCTACTTTTTTACATGTTTAAAAAAAAAAATCAAACAAAAGTCAAAAAATTAGTTTTTAACCTACTTCCCAAAATAACCTTTATGAGAATTTTAATATAACATTAATGTCTATTATTATTAACATGCAAACATAATTAATCTTATTAAATATACAATTTTTATTAGATTGTTAGATATATTTGTTTCCTTACTATTGGTTAGTGATATCGCATGTTAATGATGACGTAATATTATTATTACATTGAATTTTTACTCAAATTTTGTATAAAAATTACTTTATCATTATATAATTATTTTAAAATTTAAATCCATGACTCTTTTTTATGTTGTCTATGATATAATAGTTACAAATAACATTAAGTGCGTATGGTTTCAATTTTCTAGAAATTGAATTTTTTTTTTGTTTTTAATGAATATTTTTAAAATTGTAAGTAATTTTTTTTACGTTTTATATGCACCTTACTCAGATGTATCTAGATAGTAAAATATTTGTGAAAAAATATTTAAAAAAAAATAATAAATACACATATGAAAGATGTATTGAATTTTCTTTTTCTTTATATATATTTTTGGTATTTAGTGGTTTTTTTTTAAAAAAAAAATCACAAATATCATATTTTTTTTAGTGTATTTATGTTAAGTGTGTATAAAAATTTTAAAAATTGTTTAAAATATTTTAAAAAATATGAAAAAAAAATACAAAAAAAAAAATTTAATTTGAAAAATAAATTCTGGAAATAGAAACCAAACTAAAGTGATTATTATTATTTTTTAAAAATATTTATTGAAGTCAATTATAAAAATTTATGTGAAATATTTTTGTAAAAATTTTCAATATTATAATTAATAAGCATCTCGTTTGATTTAATCTCTTGACTCCGTCACTGCCCATGGGCCATCACGGGTCATGTTTTGATAATTCGAATCATACCATGTGTAGAGCTCGCTGAGTATTTTATTTTTGTAAAAAATCTCGTTAATTGGATATTGATAACTAATTGATCAGATCATATTTTTATCAATAATTTATTTTGCAAATTATATATACCATTGATAGAAATCTAATCCGATCAAGTAATTATTAATGTTTAATTAACGTAATTTTTTTATAAAAATAAAACCAATAAATTTTATATATTAAATATTTTATTTAAATTATCAAAATAATACCCGTAATATAATATAGAATTATCAAAATAATACCCGTAATATAGATCTTAGATTAGAGGGAAGCCTGCCTTTTTATAATTTCAATTGATGATTTTGTCTACAAGTATAAGTGTTTTTCCTTTTTCATTTGACTGTTATCCAAACGCTGCAACAACACTTGAACTACTTCATTGGAGCCGGTTATACGATCTTTCGCTCTCGGTCTCGCTCTCCTCTTCTGATCTCCTCTCACTGGAGCCCTTCAATCCGGTTCATTCTCTCTCTCTCTCTCTCTCTCTCTCTATACATATGGTTATGATTAAGTTCTGAGCATTTTTAATCGGTCATCAAATATTTTTTTAATTTAAGTAAAATTTTTTTAAAGTATTAATGAAGTTCTATTCAAAATAATTCTTAATAAAATTATCGCTAGAATTTTTCGGAAAAGTTTGTTCGTATATGATCAAATCCGGCCGGTCATCCAGCCTCCCAAAATCCGATTGTCCGGCCGGTAACCACCAACAACTACCTGTAAAATGATGAAAGGTTAAAAGTTCCATTGATTTGATAAAAAATATTCCTGTAAAATATTTATTATTTTACTTGATGAAACTGTTGGAATAACATTTTGACTAAATTTTTATCAAATTCAAATTTGATGAAAGATATGAGTATGGATTGGAGATGGTGCATGAATACGTATCTCGTAGGTTTAGGGTTTTTCATCACTTGTCTTCGTCAAATTCCATACCAAGCCTTTGTCTTTGCTTTTTCTTTTTTGTCGTTCTGGCCCAAATCTCAGTTCGATTTCAGTTTTATTGTGTGAATGCAAATTTTTTGTAATCTCTGTCAATCAGGTTTGGGGATTTTATTAATGTTTGGTTAATAAGTGTTAATTTTTTGCATTTTCATAGGGGTTTTGCCCACTTTCGCGATATGGAGGAGGATCCATATGGGTCTTCGCCGGCTGCGGAGAAAAAGCATGGTGTGACAAAGCCAATATCGCTTGCCGGGCCAACCGAGGCTGATTTTCAACAAAATGCAGAGTTGGAAAAGGTAGAAAATTTATTCAATCATTTGGAAAATTAACTAGTTTGTATTTGATATTGCAAAGCTGCAATTTTCTGATTATGCTGTTGTAATGTTTGGCAGTTTTTGATTGTTTCGGGGCTTTATGAGAGCGATGAAGATGCTGCGAGAAGAACAGCAGTTCTTCAGCGCATTGATGAGGTAATTAATTTGTTTGCTTGTTGAATTTAAAATAGTTAGAATAGTCTTTTGAACTGCACTCTATGTTTAGGTCTCATATAATCCACGACAAATTCATTGTCATTGTTCTGGTGTAAGTGTTGCCTGTGGGTTTTGCACAATTGAGTAAATGTCATTGAGGATGAAGGCTTGTAGTTTACATGTTTGATGAATTGATTATGGATGTATAATATATTATATACTAGAAAGTGGCACACGCAATGTGCGTGTATATGATCATTTTATTTCAGAAAAATAAGATTGTAAACTGTATGATTGAATTCAAATTTGAAATAAGAAGTTGAGAGACTTGAAGGGGAAAGAAAAACCTGAATTTAAGGTATGACTATTCACCTAATTGCTATAGGGGTACTTTGGAAAAACCAAATAAATGAGACATAAACACCAAGTTGTGCCTCCTCTTTATTATAGTATAGATGTAGATATAGAAGATAGATACATATATAAATATCTATCTATACTATTATAAAGTGAACACAAACTCTTATGGTGTCTTGAAGCTTTACTCTCCTCATGCCATGTGGCAGTATTTTTTATTTTTTAAAAAAAAGTTAAACAAAGAGATGGGCAAGGCTTGAACCCATGACCATGGGTTTAAGTACGAGGACTCATACCACTTAAGCTAAGTACACATTATATTATTAATTTCATTATTATTTTTTTTTATTCCTACTTATTTAAATTGCGCACACATCGTGTGTGCCACCCGCTAGTATATATATATATATATTCCAGTGACACATGATTCACAGAAGATGCATTGCTTTGTACTTCGATATCTATACTATTATATAAATCCTACAACCAAATGTAGACATGTAACATTTTTTTGATTTCTGAAGATGCCCACAAGAGCAATTACATAAAAGCAAGAGCAGTTATGCCATAGATTCATTTTTTTGATTGATGTGTTTCATAGCCTTTTCCAAAAGCTTATTTATTTGTTAATGAGTTGATTGATTGTCATCAAAATTATTATATTGTAGATTGTGAAATGTTGGGTGAAGCAATTAACCCATCAGAGAGGTTACACAGATCAAATGGTAGAAGATGCAAATGCTGTCATATTTACTTCTGGGTCATATCGCTTGGGGGTAAGTACAGGCTTGCCGTACATTTTTTTGGTTTTCTGATTCCTTAAATTTACTTTTTCTTGCTTCTTATGGATTGCATCACTTTTGCGTTGATACCAAATTTATGTAACCAGGATCACATGAGACTATTATTGAACACTTGGTTAGTAAACAAAGCTTGTCAATTTGTTGTTTTTTTTCTTTCTTTTTTTTCTTTTTAATGTATGGAGAGAGGAGTTGAAGGATAAAAATAGACAGATACAATAATACAATATAGGAATAAGAGATGAGAGACAACATGGAGATAGATATATCAATAAGAGATGAAGAAATAGAGGAGAAGGAAATAGAGTGAGGAGAAATATATGGAGTACCGAGGTAGACAGGAGATGAAAGAGCGAATGGAGATATATCAGGGAAGAGAAAGAGATGATGAGTGAAGAAGAAGAAGATAAGTTCTTCCATGTTCAACTTTTAGTCATTCTCCAAGGCCTATTCTCATTTTTTCTTAAGAGGTCATGTTATAGGCCTTAAGAAACCCTATAATAAATAATTGTCATATAAAACAACCTTCTCAATAGTAACAGCTCTTGAATCATAAAAACAGTTAAAATTAAATCATGGTAACATAATTAGAGGAAAAACTCATAATAGAATTACAATGTGTTAATGTGAATCTTGCATCTATCATTCCGCCTTATAGGAAGATTTGAAATTGTATATGACGAATTTAGCTTTGATATTTGGATTTTCAAGATGCTATAGAGAGCAAAATATCATATGTTCAACTTCCATTTTTTGGTTAAGAGAGGATTCCTCTTCTCTATGTTGTCTTTTGTGTGGTTTTTAAGAGGTTTGTACATGCATGTATAGCTTCCAAGCTTTGGCCTTTTGAGTGTATAAGATTTGCCCCTTCAAGGAGTTTTGGATAATGTACTTTTTTACTTATAAAAAATAAAAAAATAGGCCTTGTTTGGTTTGTGTTTCTCAAAAAATTTTGGGAAAAATTCTCTACAAATAAGTTTTCAAAAGTAATCAAACCAAACAAATTTTTCCAAATTTTTTTTCCAAAACTTGTTTGGTTTACAAATTTTCCAAACAAATCTCTCTCTCATACACATTAAATCAATCACTTATTCCAAAACTCTCTCTCAAAATAATTTTTCAAAACATCTTTTGAAAAAAAGCCAAACCAAACAAATTTTCGTACGTTTTATCTCAAAACATGTTTTTCAAATACAAACCAAACAAGGCCATAGTTTTTAGTCACGAGTTAGTAGCCGAGGATGAAAACTGAATGAAGGGGATGGTTTTGGCTTTTAGTGGTTGAGAAGAGTTATTACTAGGCTAGACTTGTCAAAGGGCTAAATGATATGTTGAATAGGAACTCAAATTTTGTGCACTGGAAACACCTTTGGAATTCCAGGATGCTTTATAGAACAATAAGTCATAGTATTTACGATGTGTTTGATTTGGCTTCACAGGCTAGTCTGCAGCAAGTCTATACTCAAAAACAATACTAGAATTTATTGACTTCTGCTGTTTATAAGAACTTAAGAACTATGGCAATTTTCACTTTTATTTATTTGTTTTAAAATGCCTTTTATGCTTAGTGAGTGAATTCAGATCATGTGGGGATTCAGCAACAAATTTTTATGTTGACAGTTATACGAGCCTGGGGCTGACATGGATACCTTGTGTGTTGGGCCGTCTTATGTGAATAGAGAGGTTGGTTATAATTTGGCTTGTTCTTTCTTATTAGGTTTGTGAATCCACAAGCTTTATATTTAAAGGTTGACATAATGTTTTTGTTTTTGTTTTTGTCTTTTTTTTTTTTACCAGGAAGATTTCTTTATTATATTGCATGATGTGCTGGCTGAAATGGAAGAAGTTACTGAGCTTCAACCAGTTCCAGATGCTCATGTTCCAGTAATGAAGTTTAAGTTTCAGGGAATATCAATTGATCTTCTTTATGCAAGTATATCACTTTTGGTTGTACCAGAAGTAAGTGTGGAATACCCCTTTTTCTTGTTGCATGGTTGCTAATTTTTTATTTTATTTTATTTTTTTTTTCTTTTAGTTTTAATTTTTTATTTAAATAAATTTTTATGAAACATGAAATGGCTATTGTTTGCCAGGTAATCATTGTTGGGAAGCATTTATTATTTGCACTTTCAACCTGTGTTGTCCAACAAAATGATATCCATCACGGACATTGTTTTCAAATCCTGAATATGATTATGAATCATTTTGTTAAAATAGTGAAACGTAAGATTATTTAATATGATATATAATTTAATATATTTATAACAACAATGCTACATTCTCCTCATTTATCACCCCTAAATGACCCCTAATGATGTAGCATTGAGGTTAAACCCCACACGATGGAATATTTGACAAATCAAAATTTGACACTTGTCAAACACATTATTAGGGGTAGTTTTTAGGAGTGATAATTAGGTGTCTCAAGCATTTTTCTATATATAAATACACACATAGTCATTGTTGTCAAATCACGAATCAAATCATGAATTGTTTTGCTAAAATAGTGAATAGTGAATCGTGAATTGTATCGAATCATGAATCGTAAGCTTCATTTTATTTAGTATGATATATTATTTTATATATTTATATACTTATAAAAATGCATACAGAGTTTAGAATAAAGTAAATTATCAATACGACTAAATTATATATATAATATATATACATATAACATCGCGTATAGTAATATAACTAATTATTTTCTTCTATATATTTTCATAGTTTAGCAAAAACGATGTTGTTTCATGCATTATGTAAACAAAAAAAGAAATAGAACTGAATCGTAGTGAATCGTGTGAATCGCAATGAATCGTAAATTGAATTGTACGATTCACTCAATTTCCGATTTGATAGGATGATTCGAATCTTTTTTGTTGAAACTCGTATCAAATTGTATGAATCGAATCGTGAATCGTACGAATTCTAACAACCATGCACATAGTGTTTAAAAGAAAATAAAATTATGAATATAACTAAATTGTATATATGTATATACATATAAAACCTTGTAGATCAATATAATTAAATGATGTCTTTTTTATTTCTTGATAGTTAGGCAAAAACATCAGTTTCTGCATTATGCAAATAAAAACAAAAACAAAACTGAATTGTGGTGAATCGTGAATTGAATTGATTCACTCAATTTCCGATTCAACAGTATGATTCAAATCTTTTTAGTTGAAACTTATATTGAATTGTATGAATCGAATCGTGAATCGTACAATTTTAACAACCCTGTCCATGTATTCTTTAAATTAGACAGTGTTGATTCCCTCTTCTACCTGCATAATGTCATAGATCACTTGAGACTTTCTAATTATATTTTTTGACACGCTATAGCACACAGTAGCCATTTTGGTTCTGCCTGAGCCAGACGTTTCATTCTCTGTGATGAGATGTTGAGATCAAAACTTGCTCCTGTATCACTAGCAGGGTTGGTGTTATGATTTGCTTGTTTCTTGTCACAGGGATTCTTTTTTGTTAAAGGGTAATGGTATACAAACTGAACTTTTGTACGAAAATCTCTTACTAAATGATGTGGCCTTTTGTAATTCATTCATTTCAAGCCAAAACACCCATCATTGTGGCTAATAATTATGAAAATACTTCTACCACGTCATTCTGGCTGAGTTTTATGTATAAAACTTCTGTTTTGTGAATCATTTTTTTGTTATATTGTCTTCGCAAGTGCATAATGTGTTTAAAGCTGCTGCTAAAACTGTGGTGTATATTCTCCAGTAATATTTTGATCTCTTAAGTATTCTCTGCTTCACATTGTACTTGTGAAATGTTTTATTGTCAATACGATGTTGATGATCTCTTTGGTAATGTGATATTTAGCAGCTCATTGATCATGTATTTTTCATGATTTGGCACTATTTCCATTCTGAAAGCTTAAATTCTTGGAATTTGTTGAACTACATTTTAACTTTCTCAGTGCTTATGGTCTTATCATTTCTTTCACTTATTTTAGTATAGTTAGCTTCAATTTTTTGCTTCCTTGGGCCTAAGTAAGCTTTATTGATGGGACTTTCTAATATGCATTTTAATACCTAAAAGATGGGCCATTGTTTGGACTAGCTGATCTGATGCCATCAAGGTGTCATGGCAATTTTGTGTAATCATAGATACCCTTGTTTTTATAGGACTCAAATTTGGATTTTAGATGTGGAAGCGCTATTATGGATTCAAATATTGGACTGGTTGTTTTCCTGCATGTAGCGATTGAAATTAGGGTAATTTACGTGTAGGTCCTAATAGGTGGACTTATTATCCAATAGGTCCTATGATAATTAATGGCGTTTTTCATCAAACAATTAAAAAAAAGTCACTGATTGTTAATTTTCAGTGACAGTTTAAAAATTTTGTCACAAAAAATGTCACTAATTATATTTTAGGGACAGTTTAAAAAAATTGTCAAAAAAAAGTCATTAATTTTTAACTTTCAACGACAGTTTGTAAAATTTACCACCAAAAAAGTGACTAATTGTAAGTTTTAGGGACAATTTATAAAAATCATGACATAAAAAGGCATTAATTGTCAATTTTTAGCAACTTATGTAAAAAATAGTCACAAAAAATTTTTTAGCGACGATTTTACTAGGACTTATTTTCAATAAGACTTTATGAGAATTAAGTCTAACTACTAGGAGTTATTAGTAGTTTACCCTTGAAATTATGGGCATGCAATAATTTTTTATTTTGAGGCCATGTTTGGTACCAGCTGAAAAGCCCCAAAAATAGCTGAAAACAAAGCCCCAACAAAAAGCACCTGCTAAAAAAGCTTGAAGCATTTGCTAACACTTAGAAAATATGAGGAAGAAGAACTCCGAAAATATGAGGAAGAAGGAATATATTTCTGTTATATTCAAAACTTCTTATATTACAAGACCAAATGACACTCCTTATATAGGAGATATTACAAACATCATTATAACCCATTATATGTCACTTACATATTATATACATGCCACTATCTACCACCAACACCACTATCATATTCTATACATGCCACTATCCTTCACCAACCCCACTATCATATTATATACATGCCACCATCTACCACCAACACCACTATCATATGCCACTATCTTATTATATGCATTAACACAAATTTCCAGCAGTCCTGGGACAAAAGATCACAGGACTAATAATTGTGTGTTTGGATGAGTCAGGATAGGGGACTGGATAATACCCAATTGGTTCAGGGATGTGATAAAGGCGTCTCAGAAGGCTCCACTAAACCTAACTCACTACACCACTACCACCTCACCTACTCCACTAAACCTATCACCTACTTCACCCACTTAAACCTACTCCACTAAGCCTAACCCACTACACCACTACCACCTCCACTTCACCTACTCCTTACCTACTACACACTCACCCTCTTCTATATATAGGAATCATGAATCATTGTAATAGAAATCAATAACATTATATCAATCAACAATACAATTCTCTATTTCTCTTTATACATTAAATTTCTACACTTTTTGATGCCTTTATTTAGATATTTCCATGCATTGTATTTTCTCACTTCTTAGTATGTTTCATTTCAGGGAAACTTGCATCTGCTCTTGCTCTTAAGCCTTTTGTGACTGCTATTTGTCTCATTCCATTGACACTTGAATTCCTGTGGTCCTACTAACTTTTAGATTTTTTCTATTTTCCCCCTTTCTTGGTTTTGGGGTTTTGGGGACTATGTCATGGCTGGGCAGTTAACTTAATGGCTAACAAAGCAAATGAATTATGGTTCATGGTTCTTAAGATTGGTTGCATAATTGGCATGCATTTTAAAAGTGAATGGTGAAGAAAGTCACAGATTTACTACCTTGCATGGATGCATATTTTATGGATTATTTCAATAATCTAGTGGCATTTACTTGTTATTAATTTGAACTGTTTCTTAGATTCATTTATGCTTTTGATATTTTTCATGGATTATTTCCACAATCTAGTGGCATTTACTTATTATTAATTTGAACTGTTTCTTAGATTCATTTATGCTCTTGACACTTTCTGGCTAATATGTTTTCTCCATTTAATTTGCAATCTTCTATTTTCTGAATCTCATTGCTACATAGTTTGCATTTATTGTTGCTTCTACACAATTTTTGTCATTGGTGCTGTGAAACTAACATCTTAACAGGACTTGGATATCTCAAATGGATCTGTTCTCAGCAATGTTGATGAGCAAACTGTTCGAAGTCTTAATGGTTGTAGAGTTGCAGATCAAATTCTGAAACTTGTTCCAGATGTCAAGGTGAACATATTGTCTTCTTTACTTGGAATCATCAATACCAATATTTGTTTTGACAGGTGCTTAATCCTTTAAATATTATAGCACTTTCGCATGGCACTCAAATGTTTGAAGTTTTGGGCTAAGAGGCGCGGTGTTTATTCAAATGTAAGATAACATCGTTAAGTTCTTTCTCGCCATTGTCATTTCATTTTCAGATAAAGGTGCTTATTTTGTGTGTTCCCTCTCCTCATTTTATTTCTTCTTGACCTTTTGTGCATAGGTTACTGGATTTCTTGGTGGTGTAAATTGGGCTCTTTTAGTTGCTCGGGTTTGCCAGCTTTACCCCAATGCAATTCCCAGTATGCTGGTTTCTCGATTCTTTAGAGTTTATACACAATGGCGTTGGCCAAACCCTGTGATGCTATGTCCAATAGAAGAGCACGAACTTGGATTTCCTGTATGGGACCCTCGAAAAAACCCTGGGGATCGAACTCATCTTATGCCAATTATAACTCCTGCATACCCTTGCATGAATTCTACCTACAATATCTCTACAAGTACTCTTCAGGTTATGATGGATCAGTTTCATCACGGTAACAAGATCTGTGAGGTAAGGACAAATCGGGTAATTACTTATTTTCTTAATTTTTTTCCCTCTGACAAATTGCTGACTCCGTTTGACCAACGATGCCTATGTCTTTCTACTTTTTTTCTGAATTCAGGAGATTGAGCTGAACAGAGCCCTGTGGAGTGCTCTGTTCGAGCCGTATCTGTTTTTTGAGGCATATAAAAACTATCTGCAGATGGACATAATTGCAGCAGATGCTGATGATTTGCTAGCTTGGAAAGGCTGGGTGGAATCTCGGCTTATACAACTTACTTTGAAGGTAAAAATTTGCTTTTCTAGTAAGCTTAAACCAAAATTTCTGCCCATGATTATTGATCTTATGGATGTAATAATGAAAGATGATAAATTTTTCCTTTCTTATCTTTGCTTTTTGTCACATTGCAGATAGAACGGGACACATATGGCATGTTGCAGTGCCATCCTTATCCAAATGAATATGTAGATGCTTCCAAACCATGCCCACATTGTGCTTTTTTCATGGGCTTACAGAGGAAACAAGGGGTAATAGTTCAAGAAGGCCAGCAATTTGATATACGTGGAACAGTCGATGAGTTTAAGCATGACGTAAGCATGTACATGTTTTGGAAACCCGGGATGGATATTTATGTTTCTCATGTTCGTAGGAAGCAAATTCCTGGTTATGTTTTTTCAGATGGGTATAAACGGTCACAACCATTGAGGCACACAACAAGCCAGCATGTTGAAAGAACTTATGAAGAAGATGCTGAAAAAGGCTGCAAGTCTCGCTCTGCCGAAAAGCAGCTCAAGAAGAAAAAAGATTCTGAAATGTCGGATTCAAAGACAGCTAAAGCAGAGAAGCGGGCTTCTATTAGCCCACAGAGGCTGGGGTCTATTTCTCCAGAAAGTTGTATAAGTAGGTCTGGTGGAACATCTCAGGGCAGCTTCTCTGGGGAGGTTAAATTAAAGCCTTTGGCTGCTGGGGATGTGGATAGTATTTCTGATGATTGGTCGTCTGGTGGGTTGTCACAGAGTAGATGTAATGTGGATGGAAGTGACAATCAGAAATGCATTCTTGTGAATGAACAGATATTATGTGAATCTAATTCACTTGGGATCAGCTTAGAAGGGGCCAAAATGGGAGATTTGTCATTAACTGATGTGGATTATGCTGAGACTGGATATACTAAGAGAGTGCTAAACCAGAAAGAGGGTGCTGTTGTGGATGATGGAAGAGCTAGTGAAATCCTGTAAGCAGATTGCACGGGTAGAAAATGACTTAAGCCTGTTTGGATCAAATTTCACATTCAGAACCTCAATTGCTAGGTGAGTTTCTTCCTTTCAGGATTTTAGACTCACATTTGGAAAATGGGTGTTTAAATGGGAGGAGAGTATTTAAAAACAGCTTTGGAAGAAACATTAGAGGTTGTGAATCTAAGCTTCTACTTTTTTAGTTTTTCCACTTCCTGTTATATTTTCCATTCTTTAACATATATCATTGTTGTTTGTGCACTGCTTTTACCCATTCCTATCTCTTGCTTTTTGATAGGGTTATCAGGACAGAGACCAAGACGTCTTTCTAGATTTTTGTTTTGAAAAATTTCAGAAAAAGGGTACTTTAGATTTTTGTAGGCATATAGAGCCTTGTTAGCTTGCAAGTATAGGATCAGTCAGTGTGTCCTTCCTATGTAAGATGATCTAATGGTGAAGGATCAGGATAATCGGTTGATATTGAAACGTTGTCTGACTACTCTCTCTCTACTTATTTCCTTACGTTATCTTGTTTGTTACCGATCTTATTTTCCTCTATCTAATGGTGAAGGATCAGGATAATCGGTTGATATTGAAACGTTGTCTGACTACTCTCTCTACTTATTTCCTTACGTTATCTTGTTTGTTACCGATCTTATTTTCCTCTTGATTTGTACTGTATCTGACTGTTGCATTTGGAATGGTGATTGAATCCCAGAATGGGGCTAGTTCTGAGTCAGTGCAGAATCCGGTGATGAGGCGTGTGTTTTGCAACTAATTTTGTGATTTGATTCATGTTTTCTTTGTACTGTCCCGTTTGGTTGTTTCAGTGTGGCCTTTTCTTGCTGGTTGAGTCTGAAATCAACAGCATGAAATTAGGAAGCAAAATAATTCAGTTTTGATCAATGATGTAGGAAAATAGAGGAACACCACCCTGGATAGGTGCCACAGCAATTGTGGGCTTTTGTCATGGGCTTTCAGGTGTACACATCTGTTTTTATCTTGCCGATTGGGGACAAGAGCATGGCAACAGGGAGGACTCTGCCCCACTCTGCATAATGGGTCTGTTTAGTGTGCAGTTCTTGGTATCTTATGCTGTGAGTATTTGTATTACCAAAAAGGAGGGGAAAAAACAAAACAAAACAAACAAACAAACAAAAAGAAAATAAAAGGGGAAAAGAAATGTAAAAAAGACAGATTTGAGCATTTGAACTTGATAATCTATTGGAAGAGAGCTTGGGACTTGCTGACTTTGCTACTCGTTTGTGTAGTGTGGGAAGTGTGCCTTTGTGTTTATGTTTATGGAATAGATGGCCTAATTGGAGCAGCGGCTTGTTGAGTAAGGGCCAGTTGTGTTGTTATAGTTGTAAGGATGCCTTGAATTAGGCCCGTGACTTTCATTAAACCTTTGTTGGTGTATGTTCATTGGTGCTTTTGCAATACTCTCTCTCTCCCTCTCTCTCTCAGTAATTTGTTCTTGTTCAGATAGTGATGAGGAAATCATAGTTCAAATGCAGTGAGGTTGAAAAAATATGCCTAACTAAATTGTGTTTTCTTTGCCCTCTGTAGAACAACATTTTATTGGCCATTTGCATGTTCAAAAATTCTTCTCTTGGGAGATGATTAGCTTAACGTTTCTTCTTTTTTCCCACAGGATTTCCCATGCCCTTTTCTGTCTGTCTTTTGCACTGAGAAAATTGTGTATGAATATTTCAGTGCATTGCAGGTCAATTGGAAGATATTCTTAGCAAAAATTATTGCAGTTTGTTGTATTCATGGTTTGGAAAACAAGCTGATATTGGGAGAAAATACTGTAATCAATTTTGGTGATTAAGTAGATTTTGGGTGCAATTCAATTGATATGCATACTGTAACAGGGTAACTAGATGATTTTTCCCAGTTGTGTAAGAATTACAAATAAATTCTAAGACCATGTTCATACCAACCTTCTGCTCTTAATTAGAAGATATATGACTAATTAGTATCAAATGTCACATTAGGGTTTTGATGGGTTTGATCAATCTTTCATTTACTTGGTGGTTTCACAGGTTTTACAGTGTCATTTGGTAAGACCGTTAATTGTTGGCTTTACAAAAGAGTTTGAAGGTTGTTCTTGATCAGTTTGAGAGCCTAATTACTAATACTTCCCAGCCAAATTAATTTTTCAAAATAGTATTATTACTATTAGTTGTTGTTCAAGAACAAGAATTCGCCAAGCTGCCAAGAAGATTTCCACAAAAAGCAGCACGCAATGGATGCTATTAGACATTATCATTACCAAAAAACTATACCCATGACTCATTTGTTTGCATCTGCATACATTTTCATTTTGACTTCTATGTCACGGAATGATATTTCAAAACAAATTCTGGAAACACAAGATTGTTGTTCAACTATCCTGGAAAAGAAAAGTGGAAATTTTCTCCGTCTAAAAAAATGGAACTGGCAAACTCAAGAAAGTCATGCATGGCCAACCTGTTGAACCCGATTCACATACCAACTCAAGACACAGAATTTCAAATCACTTTTATAGTACACAAATGTAAATCACTTCTGGTTAACAAGTGTAACTTGCGTAGTGCATACTAAAGTATCCGGCAACTAAAGGCCGCAATCTGTTCCAGTGAATTATTTGGTAGTAAAGTCATCCTTAATCCAAAAAATACTACGATAAGAAAAGAAACTAACACGAAGGAAACTGTTCTAGAGAAGCCTTCCGACTTGATTTGACGCTACTTGCTAGCTTTACCTTTACCATTATCGAAAACTTGTGAAAGGGCACTCCATTCAACAAGCCAATCAACCATGCTCCCTAGCCCCTACACAATCAGAGAGAATAATAAGAAGAGCCCAAATTGATAATTCAAAAATTTTCAGAAACCAAAATCACAGTTTCACACAACTAGTAATATAGTGTGTTTTCTGCTTACCACGTCACAATATTTGCTGCCAATCTCACTTGTACTCAAACGTGGGAGGGCTTGGTGAATCAAAGCTCTCAAAGACCTGTGTCTTGCTTCCACTGCTCATACCTGTTTCCTGCTTTCCACCACCAAAAAGCCCTCCGAACCATGATGAAGATGAAGAAGAAGGAGAAGAAGATGTTGATGATGACGATGATGAAGATGAAGATCCATCTCCCAAGCCACCCATGGTTAGTGGAGCTTGACTAGGCAATTGTCCCATTGGATATCCAGGCACACTGGCCGAATTGGGCATTTGTTCTTCCATTGGTGGAAAATTCTGTTGTGCGCTCATTACTTTATTCAACATGATCCCAGCTCCTTCAATCAAAGCAAGTAACACCCCACCAAACAGAGCAGATCTTGAAGCAGCACCCAAACCCTGACGCATCTGAAGGAAACCTCCCGTAGCGGCACCTGCGATAATTGAATTCCATGGGTCCTCTTTCTGGCGGACATAGACCATTGTGCAGTCAAATGTGGAGAAAAGACCACCCCAGACAGCAAAACTACCACCAACACGAGGTGCATTCATGCGCACTGCTTGTGTGCCTCCAATTAAGCGCTCACCTTTTGGCGAATTATAAATACCTTTAATAAAGTGGAAAGCCGAACCTCCAACAGCACCCATGCCGAATGCACCACCAACGTCATCGAGGATACGATCTGGGCAAGGTTCCCGAGAGGTCTCTGGTGTTCCCATGAATCAGGAAAGGAATGAAATTTTGGGCTTCTTTTTGTAAAATATGATCAAGGAGAAGCTAGCAAGTTCTGGAGAGGATGGAAAAGTACAAGGAACTTTGTATTATCTGAACTTTGTTACTCTTCAGGAATAGGAATTCAACTGTTTGGAATTGTGCTACATTCCCTGCAGAGAAATAAGAGGTAGACCTAAGAGGAAACATAATTAAGACTTGGCCTAATAACCTTGAGGTTATGGGTTCAAGTCTTGGGCCACCACTTTACGCTTTATGCTAAAGGTTAGGTGTGTACTGAATCTTTCCCCTTCCAAACACACATTAATGTGTACTTCTTGGGCGTTGTTTTTTAATTGTATATTCCTTGTATTTCAGATTATGAGTGCATTTCTATAATATCATCTTTGTAGCAATAGTATCATGATGATACCACCAGAGTCACAAAAAAGTTGCCAGTTGCACGGGCATTCAATAAGAGATATTCACTAATACCAAACAATCCAAGTCTCAAAGGTTATTCAGTTGGCACCTACATCCTTGCCAATATTTGAGATGAGATGCCCAGGTAGCCCATTTGAAATAACAATTCATGCACTAATCATGGAAAATTTATTTGTAGATGTAGCATGGACTTGTAAGTTCTAACTTGCCTGACAAAACAGTTTCCCTTAAAACATCACCAAAAAACGCATTCACTTTTGTTGCTCATAGTTGGATTTAATCCCCCTTGTCAACCACATTGTTAAGCATTATAACCCGTTACCACAAATGTCTATGGTGACGCCACCAACTACATCTGTCTCAATCTGAAGTTTAACAATTTGACGGTCATCTTGATTGTCTAACAATGAACAAAGTTCAATGTTAGATCCCAAAACATGCCTTGTGTACCAATCAGGTCAGGTCGGCTTCATGAATTTTTTTTTCATCATTTTGCTCTAGCAATTACTACATATACCTACTAAAAGGAGAAAGAAAAGCATCCCTCTTATAACTAGAGCATAAATATTAAACAAAACCCATGTGCACTACAAAAAGGCAAACAAGGAAACATAATAGTTTGCAAAGCACATAAAATATGCATGCAAAGGCCATGCTAGTAATTGCTAGGTTGCTAACATCTGCATAATCTGGCATATGCAATAGTTGGTTTCATAGAATTTGAAATCTTTTACCCTCATTGTGACCTAAAAACGGTAAGAAATTAAGAATCCATATATGATAATAGAGATTTTCAGTCCAGCTTTTGAAATGAGAATACCTCAAAAATTCAGAAACTATAATTTCACCAAACACTAGAAAGTACTTTCAGTTGGCATGAAATTGGCTAAGAGTTAAAGAGAAGGCATACTTATATGGAACAAAAATAGTTGCATCCCAACTGCTTGTGTAATCTGTAGCAACGTTTTTTTGCCACTCATTTCAATCTAGTTCCATATCTTTGTTAAATCATAAGTCATTACATTTACACCTTGTTTCACCATCTCCACCCACATTTCTTTCAGCATTCCACTGGTACAAGTAGCACACAAATTCATTAAACATCTCCGCCTTAGAAGTCCACAATTGTTAAGGCGATAAAACCACCTCATAAGCTACCACTCACCTTCAATCTATGCCATCTCCTTCCTTCTTACACATCCATCTCAACAATTACTCCTTTTCTAATATATTCCCTCAACTGCCCAACATTCACTACTGCATAACATAGCCAACACTACTGTAATCTATTCTATTATATAAAGCACATAATTCACTAGATTGAAGCTTTGTCACGCAATTCCGATTCCAAAAATTATCCCACCAACATTAAATTTTTCCAAATAAACATTGTAAAAGTAAAACCAACCAACAAAAAAACTGTTGTTCAGTTGCCCACTATTCCCTCTCCACTCTCACCCACAATCTCTTCAATTGCACACCTTATCTAGTTCCATTTATAAAATTAACTACAACAGCAAGACCATGAACCCCAATCAAGTAACATACCAACACAAAACAATTGAATTTTAAGTATCGGGGAGAGAGATCGAAGTTCATTCAATAGAATTTCATCGTGAAACTATAAAATAACCTCAAAAATACACAATAAAATCCTCCGCTTGGTAACCCAGAAAATTATATAAAATAAACTGCTAAAGTGAATCTTCAAAACCACCCTCGAACAAGAAAAGTTATACGAGTTTCTAAATATTTTCTCTCTTCTTTTTTCTTTTGGATAGTTTTCTCGGCCAAGAAACTGATATACAAATACATGCCAGCACAAAACATCAAATATTAAGAATTCGCAGTTTATTCAATAGAATTTAATCCTGAAACTACAAAATAACACCAAAAATACACAATAAAATCCTCCATTTGGGTGACCCAGAAAATTATTTGAAATAAGCTGCAGTTGTGAATCTTCAAAACCACCTTCGAACAAGAAAAGTTATGAGCTTCTGAAGATTTTTTCTTTTTCTTTTTTTTTCCTTTTTCGATAGTTTTCTCGGCCGAGAAACTGAAATACAAATACATATATGCGTGTTGTGTGCGTGTAAGTTTTGAAAATGTTGTTGTTTAAAATTGTGAAATTAAATAAATAGATTTATGAAGAAAATAAATTATATACCAAGAATATAGGTTGATAATTACAATTAAATTTTAACAGAAATACACAAAAAAAAATAAAGGGTAAAGAGACAAAATCGAAGCCTGCACGGAAGCAGTTTCCTTAAAACAGATTTCGCCGCCTCACGGGTCGAGTGCTTGAGGAAACCCGACGTCTGTCTCCCAGGATACGACGGTCAAAACCAGCTACGGCCGAAATACTATCTGTCTAGCTTAGCGAACAAAACAATGGCAGCATTCTCTCACAATAGGAACTATCAAGCAAATTGACTTGTAAAATGGAAGCAAAAATTTCTATATTGAAACTTGACAGGAGGGTCTCAATTTATACCTGTATAGGGGAGAGAGGAAAAGCCTCCAGCCTTTAAGGCTAGTCATTAAAACACTAAGTATCCATAACCCTTTTTCACAAAATGAAAAGTATGGATGTCCAAAAGATTCACACCCTTTAGCCAAGAAAAAAGATTTAAATACTCTTTAAAATCCTATTCATGAATCTAACATCATGAAGCAATTTCTGGGCAATTTCTTATTCAAAACCCAATGATTTTTGGCTCACTTGGACCCAACACAAAAAATAGTTAGGACCCACTTTAATATTTAATTAAAGTCACCACACTTTAATATTAAATTAAAGTCCCCAAAAATCATTTTTTCCAACAATCCCCCCACATGAATAAAAATTGACCGAAAGACTCAACAAACGGACATCGTTCAACAATAAAGACTCTGAGAGAGAGTACAATAGACTAACCCCGACATCAGAGAAGGTAACTTTTGGCTTTGAACCTCTCCCAGTGAAAACCTATCGAGTTTACTGGCAGATCAGTGAATAAGACATCTTGAACTGCTCTACGGTTTATATAAACTGAGACAATAGATCTCACACGGGAATTACTCCTACCACCATTATGTTCTCACTGGTGTGCCCTGTGTGGCCCTGGACACTAGCCTGGTTCAGCAAGTGGTTTCAAAGAATCTTGGCCTGCCCAATTCTTCTAGAAGCGGCCCCACTTCAAACTCACATAGGTGACTCTACTAAAGTATCCTGCAATACTTAGCTCAATAGCTTAACACATAAGAGTCATTAAAAGCTCAGCTTATCGTCTACACTTGCAGGTATCACTAATAGAATGAATGGCTAGAGGTTTAACCTCCTCAGTGACATACCACCGTTACACGCAATTAAGTTGTCCCATTGAACCTAGATCTTGAGATCTCCAGTCAACTAGGTTGGGTCTCCATTCTGGTAACTTCCAAAGGCCTTAACCCCATTCCTTTTGACAACGTTTCGACTAACACTCGATTTAACCCTTTGGTTAGCAGATCCGCAATGTTGTCCTTAGACTTTACATAGTCTAAAGAGACAACTCCATTCGAGAGTAGTTGTCGTATGGAATTATGTCTACGACGGATATGTCTAGACTTTCCATTATACATATTACTCTGTGCCCTACCAATTGCAGATTGACAATCACAATGAATACAAATAGCTGGCACAGGTTTAGACCAACGTGGAATATCTTCAATGAAATGGCGAAGCCATTCTGCTTCTTCCGTTGCTTTATCCAAAGCAATAAACTCTGATTTCATTGTTGATCTAGATATACACGTTTGCTTGGAAGATTTCCAAAACACGGCTGCCCCACCAAGAATGAACACATATCCACTAGTGGACTTTGAGTCCTTTATATCTGATATCCAATTCGCGTCACTATATCCTTCAAGCACCACTGGATATCGAGTATAATGCAGCCCATAATCCCGAGTGTAGCGTAAATACCTTAACACTCGCACAATGCCCTTCCAATGAGAAGCATCAGGATTACTTGTGTATCTACTAAGTCTGCTAACTGAGTAAGCTATATCTGGCCTAGTACAACTCATCAGATACATTAAACTTCCAATTACCCGAGAATATTCTAACTGAGAGACACTCTCTTTATTATTCTTGGTAAAGTGTAGACTTAAGTCTACAGGTGTCGATCACACACTCGTATCTGATCCACTAAACTTCTCAAGTATCTTATCAGCATAATGAGACTGAGAAAGTATAATTCCGCCAGAGATTCTGGTAATCTTAATTCCCAGAATAACATCTACAATGCCCATATCCTTCATGTCAAATTTAGAGTTTAACAACTTCTTGGTAGTGTTGATCATTTTATCGTTACTACCTATAATGAGCATATCATCAACATATAGACACAAAATGACATAACCTCTGTCAGTGTCTTTGACATAAATACACTTGTCACATTCATTGATTCGAAACCCATTTGACAACATTACATTGTCAAACTTCTCATGCCATTGTTTAGGCGCTTGCTTCAAACCATACAAAGATTTGACAAGTTTACAGACTTTCTTGCTTTGTCCTGAAGCTGAAAACCCTTCAGGTTGCTCCATGTAGATTTCTTCATTCAAATCCCCATTTAAGAAAGCTGTCTTTACATCCATCTGGTGTATCTCAAGATTGCGCAAAGCTACTATCGCAATCACTATGCGAATGGATGTTATCCTAGTTACAGGTGAGTACGTATCAAAGTAATCCAGGCCTTCTCGTTGCCTATACCCTTTGATAACGAGCCTCGCCTTATACTTGTTAATAGACCCATCGGCCTTCATTTTTCGTTTAAAAATCCATTTGCAGCCTAAAGGCTTACAACCTGGAGGTAAATCTACCAACTCCCAGGTGTGGTTCTGTAAGATGGAGTCAATTTCATTTTTGATCGATTCTTTCCATAAAGGACTCTCAAGAGAAGTCACAGCTTCGTGGAAAGTTTGAGGTTCGTTCTCAACCATATAAGTCAAGAAGTCTGGACCAAAAGATTTGGATGTCCTAGCCCTTTTACTCCGTCTGGGCTCATCTAAAACCTCAATTTGATCATCACCTGCATCATCAAGGTGATCATCCTCACTAGCAAGCTCATCAAATTGCTCCAAAAACCTTGGAACCCCTGCATGGGTTCGGCAAGGAAAAATGTCTTCAAAGAAACATGCATTCCTTGACTCCATGATGGTGTTCCTATGTATGTCTGGAATTTCAGACTTATGAACAAGAAACCGATATGCACTACTATTATGTGCATAACCAATGAATATACAATCCACAGATTTCGGGCCTATCCTAACCCATTTGGGTGTAGGAATCGCCACTTTTGCAAGACACCCCCACATTCGTAAGAATTTATACGAAGACTTAACGCCTTTCCATAACTCATACGGCGTCTTGTCCACCTTCTTCTGGGATACTTTATTCAAAATGTAATTTGCAGAGAGAATTGCTTCCCCCCACAAGTTCTGTGGCAATCCAGAACTTATCAACATTGCATTCATTGTTTCCTTTAGCGTCCTATTCTTCCGCTCAGCAATCCCATTAGACTGAGGAGAATAAGGCACCGTGGTTTGGTGGATAATCCCAGATTGAGCACAAATCTCAATAAACGGAGATTCATACTCACCACCACGATCACTTCTTCGAGCCTTAATCTTGCGGCCTACTTGATTCTCAACTTCATTCTTATAAAGAACAAACTTGTCAATCGCCCCATCTTTGCTTTTGAGCAAATAGACATAACAATACTTAGTGAAATCATCAACAAAAGTAATGAAGTACTTATTGCCACCACGTGATTGTATAAATTTTAAGTCACACACATCACTATGCACTAAATCCAACGGTTCTGAACTTCTTTCAATAGAATGCTGCTTTGAAGTCTTTAACTTCGCTTCAACACAAGTTTCACACTTGTGTTTCGGATTAATCTTAAAAGATGGTATGTGATCTAACTTGATTAATCTACGCAAAGATTCAAAGTTCACATGCCCTAGTCTACCATGCCACAAATTGGAAGACTCGAGCATGTAAACAGAAGAAGATGCACCTTTATTCATCTTTGGGATAACAGTCATAACATTGAGTTTAAACATACCCTCCAACATATAACCCTTACCCACATATATTCCGCTTTTGGTAAGAACGACCTTGTCGGACTCAAAAACCATGCGAAAACCATGTTTACTAAGAAGAGACGCTGAGACAAGATTTTTACGAATGTCCGGAACATACAGGACTTCGTTCAAGGTTAGCTCCTTTCCTGACGTCAACTTCAGGACCACCTTTCCTTTCCCCTCAACAATCGAGGTAGCAGAGTTTCCCATAAACAACTTCTCACCGTTTGTAACCGGTTCGAAAGTTGTAAACAGTTTCTGCTCGAAGCAGATGTGGCGTGTAGCCCCAGTATCAATCCACCATTCTCTTGGGTTTGAACCCACCAGATTCACCTCAGAGACAACGGCAGACAAGTGCATATCATCCTCCTCATGGGAGTGCTCTTGTAAGTCTGCCATATGAGCATGACGTTTGGTCTTGTATGGCTTCTTCTGCTTGCGATAGTCACTAGCCCGATGCCCCTCGTTACCACAGTTATAACACTTCCCAAAGAACCGATAACCAGGTTCCTGCGGCTTGTAAGCCGACTTCTTTGCAACACCACCCCTTGGCCCCAGCTTAGAGCTCTTGTTCACAGGGGGCTTCTTCCTTATCCCAGAAGATTTGCCATGCTCAACGACATTGGCCTTTACTGAGGAGGTACTCCTTCCTTTCTTTCTATTATCCTCTTCAATCCGGAGTCGGACAACCAGCTCTTCAACAGACATTTCCTTGCGCTTGTGCTTCAAGTAATTCTTGAAATTCTTCCAACCATTGGGAAGTTTCTCAATGATCACAGCAACTTGAAATGACTCGTTCAAAGGCATCCCCTCAGCATGAATTTCATGCAAGATCACTTGGAACTCCTAGACTTGGCTTATCACAGTTTTAGAATCTACCATTTTAAAATCAAGGAAATGACCAACCACAAATTTCTTTGCCCCGGCA